TGTCTCCTTACAAATCTGCAGGATGTTGATGAGATGCAAGAAAACTTGGACAAGCTCAAGAAATTAACAAGAGATGACAAAACGGAGACAGCTATGCTGCGGGCACGCATTGACGAACAGTCTCAACTGATCTGTATCCTCAAGCAGAGAGCGGATGAGGCCTTGACCCGAACCCAGACCCTGGAGCGCATCAATCGTGACCTGGAAATGTTCCGTGACAATGCCCAAGAGATCATTGAAGCCGAGGTCAAAAAGTCAAATCAGTTAGAGCAAAGATTCCACGAGCTGGCTGAGAACCATGAAGAGATGATACGTATCAAGGATGATTACAAACAAAAGAATGAGGAACTCAGACAGGAAAACTTGCGACTCCTGGATGAGAATTCAAGACTATTCTCAGCTGCACTTGTGGAGAAAGATGGGAAGATAGACTCACTGCACAAACAAGTGACCAGTTTGAAAGAGCAATGCAAGGAACTCAATCAGTTTATCAGGTACAGAATGTATTAGCTGATCCACAATTGGTTGATCAGACATCCACAAGAACGATCAGAACAATCAGTTCCAAAAGGGGAAAGATTGAACTGATTAATTTGGGTGTCCCATTATCACGTTAGAGTTGCTTGAGCCTTGTGAGTACTCTGATTTCATTTTTTGGCTTTACTTAGGATCTTCTGTTCTTGAGCAAGGCATCTTACCGCAATTTGTCAGAAGAAGGTGACTCAAGGTCATGCCTTTGGCACCAATGTGTATACAATTTTTATAAACTTTTCTTTCTCAATGATGAAATTCCATACCGTAATTTCCTTTTCAGCCGACTGCAGACTGAACATCATGAAAAGAGCCAAGAAATGGACGGGATAATCAAACACTTGAAGAGTCAACTGGACGACACAAACAGGAAACTGAAAGGTAATGAAACTCAGAAAACGACCAATTAAAGGGTTTCCTTCAAGCTCTCCAGCTCGTCTGTCACACTTCTGCCCTTGCCTCACAGGCACCCAATCACAGCTGCAGCAGCAGTCGGAGAATCTCAAGAACGCCGATGCCAACAGGGCCCTCAAGCTGGAGAGACTTGCCAAGGAGAAAGACGAGATGCTGGAGTTGGCCATGCACAGGGGCAGACTTATACAGGTAGGTTGGAATGGTGCCGGTGGTGGCGCTGTTTGTTTCTGGTGATTGAAACTGTTCAATAGAGGGCGTCGTTTATTCCTGGCGATTAAAATATTTCAGAGTTTTTAGACGCGCATGTAAACAAAAGTTTTCTCTGTTTCTGGAATTTGTTCTTCATCTTGACCCACTCTGGTTCAGGACAAGCAGCGTGAAATCAAAGAACTTCAGAACAAGGTGGCTGAGGCACAACGAGAAATCCAGAGAATGGAAGACAAATTTGAGTGAGTTGTTCAAATCTTCCAAATGAAGGTCTGTCTAGGATTCAGGGCCTTACAACAACATGGAATGCAACTGTCTGATTTTGGTATTGAAAAAGTTACCCAGTAACAGAGGATTTGTTGGGAATTTCAGACAGCTGAAAGGGCTTGAATTCATGGACTAAAAACAACAGCGCATAAATTGTTCTGAGCTATTCCAGAGATTTGTTTATACAGCATGAAATATTCATCCAAGTTGAAACCAATCTCACATTCTCTTGATATTTTTGTCTTGAAGGCGGGATGCAGCATTGGTCTCCACCAACCTCCAAGTGATCCGATTGAAGGATGAGAAGGAGCAAGCTGAGTTGACACTCAAGCAAATCCACATGGTAATCCCTAAGCCATGGATTCCAGCTGTTCCAAATTGAATGGCTGCGGCTTGAAATCACACACACACACCTATGAGCACCATTAATAGACAGCTGTATACACTTTCCATAGATACGTGTCACTGCCAGTCATAGTCAGGACTTTCAAACACATCCATAGACACTTGGTGATAGCCCCCATTTATTCAAAGTCACATTTTCAGAGAATTAAGCAGGAGAATTTTACCAATAGAGCCGTCACGTATTCCATTGAAACTACAAGTAGTTAATGAAATAATGTCTAAGCTGAATTTAGCACTTATTCAGTTGAACAGATTTCCCTTTCCACCACAGTTACAAACTAAGTCTGCTGTAAATTAAACCATGATGGTAAACTTAGACAAATTCCTGCTTTTTTGTAGGAGTACGAAGCTTACAAGAAGCATAGTAGCAGCCTGCTGGCCAAAGAGAGATCGCTGAATGCACAACTCCGCAATCTGGTATCCTAGCAACAAGTGATCAAGTCCTTGGTAACCAAGGTAACAACTTCAACCCTTGCCCCAAACAAAGAGATGCTGTATATTTGCTGAGCTTTTTGAGAAGAATATCATCACAAGTTATAACTTCTGAGCTCCTTGGAAACACCTAAAAGATGTTCTACCAGTTTTGTCTTACTTCACTCCTGAAATTGGTAAACATGTCTCATTCTGGATAGTCTGGTTTCTGATACGACACAATGAAAAACCGAGAAATCATTACTTATCAGAATTGAAGATGTTTATTGGGATAAAGATTGTTTCAGTGTTGTAAATGGGTCACAAAATTGCTTCATATTATAACCCACAAAATCAAATTACTGTTTGATTTCCCTTTTTTTCTGTGTCAACTTTTGATAACATCTAGGACTCATCCATACATCTTCCCATTTTTTAAACTACACTGGACAGCAAAAGAAACTTGCCACTTCTGTCATGTGCATGTCAATTTCTTCTTTGTTATAAAGATAATCTCTTGCTTTTGGGCACGTGATAAGTAAGGGGCATTGCAGCATACCTGTGTACAAAAATTGTTTATTTCTATGGGGTGAATTTTTATGTTTGGCCTTTGACAGAAGTGGCAAGTTTCTTTTGCTGTCCAGTGCATATGTCATATTTTTGGAATAAGTAAATTGTGGTGCTTTTATAGTGGACAGACAGTTCTTAGTTTGCATTTGAAGGAAGCAGGCATGAGTCCCGTAATGCTCCTACATGTGCCCTGAAATATGGCAGTTTACATGGCAAGCAAACAAATATGATGCATCATTTCCAATCCAAAATGTTAATGTCAGTACTTTGGTGCTCTGGGCTGTACGTGTCTTCCGCTGTCTATAGTGAGGAGCTCCCCCGTGATCATTGCAGCATCATGTGATGCCAGGAAAACAATAGCTGCAGCCACCTCCTTGTCTTTACTGTGTTTTCCCAGGGGGTGCTCCTCCTTGCTGCCATGCTTCATCTAATATTCGATCAAATTCAGACAAAAATTAAATGTCTCGTAACGGATGTGTGTCCAAGCTTGGAAAAGGCTACAACTCTTGAAGCTTGTGTGGTTCCAGAAAACAGAAAACAGCAAATGCATCTGCAGAGTTATGAAATATGCCGCTTCTCTTTTTATCGTCGTCAGAACGTTCAATAGTGATTCCTTGCACTCAGTGCATGCTTTTAGAAGCAATGAGACTGCAATTTTTTCACTGCCAGTTTTGGAAACCCACTTTGTCCTACATTCAATTTCATGTCGGCGAAAATTCTGAAACCTACCTTACCCCCTAGTTTGTCTGGAAAAGGTAAGATTGGATGGATTAAGTCTCATCAAGCTGGTCACCATGTCCTGTGTGTCAAAAGACATCTGAGAAAGAAAGTCTTCGTGAAACGTTCCAGCTTACCTTTGAAGGACTGTGTCCATTCAGGGAAGTTGCTGAATCAGTAACCGCACCAGGGCTACAAGGAGCAAAGGAAAGGCATTCTCAAATTCAAAAAGTTTCAAGTTGTACATTTGGACTGTATGCACAGGCGGCAAATGTATAACCAGTTTTTCCAAAAGCAATATTTATTGCGTGATAAAGTCATTGTTAGGTTTTTGTAGAGAGGAATTTAAATGATTTTGTATAGTTAATTGTATATCTGCATAAAGAGAAACAGAGTTAGGCAATAAAGACAATACATGTACTTACTTGACTGCGTTTACTCTTACTCCTTGGGGAGCGAGATCTGAAACAGACAGAATTGACCATTTGTTTTGGTTCAAGTTTGATTTCTTGTGTACTCTTTCTGGTGAAGTGTCTCGTGCCCTGTTCAGTCTCACTTTGGCTTCAGTTTTCTCTTTTTTCTGTTCCATTCAGGGGAAGGGAGGTCTAGTTTCCACGCCTTTGTTGTCTAGTTTCTACACGCCATTTCATCATTTGATTATCCCCTTTATTTATTCTGGCTTCTTAGTTTGCAGACTTATCGTCAGTCGCTTACCAACTGCAGTACTTCTCGTGAACTGATCTAATGCCAGTTTAATCATGCTGTAAACCATCTTGTTCGTGCTCTGTAATGCATAAAGAAAACGATACCAGGGTACAAAACGTGAGCCTTGGTTGCGATTTGAATAAACCCCCGTTTTGTAATGTACTTGTTACATTATTCTGCGCAAACTCACCGAAATGAAGCTCGGAACATTGTAGTTGGTCACAATGCAACCTGAAAAAAATACGAAACGGAAAAAGTAGGGATACAAACAGATTTCCCCATAACCTTTTACAGAAAAACAAAGTCAAAACTCTGCTATTCAGGGTCCCACAAATCGTCATTTCAGGCTCTCAAAGAATTAAGGTCCGGTTAGCAGGCGTGCCCATGACGGTAACAGCTTACAAGATCGCGACGCTTAGTTCACCTTTGGTGGCTGTAAGGTGCGGCGCTGATAACTTGGTCAGGTAGAACACAGATCGCACGTTCAGCTTAATCGCTTTGTCGAACATCAAGGATGGCGCCTTGTCCGCTCCAAGCATGCTGCTCCAGCTGAGATTATAAACCTTATGAACAGAAATGACGAATCAAAAGTTCTGTTTTCTGAGATTGTTGCCTCGTCAATCAACTCTGAACGAGACACAAAAATTTACATTGATTTTGTAGAGTAGACTATCGTTATTTAAGCGTAGTTGCTAGTGTATGCCTCAACATGTTACTGAGTTTTGCTGTACAAGGATCGTCCAGACTGCAACTTTGTAATCGCTCTGAACTTGCCAAAATCATTTCTTAAGTAATAAAGTTAATTCTAAAACCTGTCTCTGATCATGCAGCGAATATATATCTGAGACAATCCCTGCTGAATCTATTGGTTTTACAGTGGAAAATGAGCCTTTTCCACGTACCAGAATATCCAATCGACCGAACTTCTCCACCGTTCGCGTCACAACCTCCTCGACATTTTGATCTTCCGTCAAGTCACCAGCAAGAAGCAAAATCTGTTTTCAAACATGGAAAATAGTGAACTAAATTATACGTATTGTAATAGACAGGACGATATATAAAACATTTCTTCAAAACTTCTTCAGAGGAAATTAATTAATACCAGGGACGATGCGAAAAATTTCTACTCTGGCAATTGGTGTTTCATTATACATTCGCATTTTCCATTGTGAGTTATACTTTTTTTTCATGATTCATTACAACACTATACCCCCCGAGTGGGACCAAGAGAGGGCGCAATATCCTTAGCAACGAAGGCTCCTTTGGTGAGAACTGCACTTTACTGGTTCACGAACGACTATGCATCGGAAATGTATGCACTGCGGTCGCGTCGCTGCCCACAAAACAAACACTTCCCACCAACGTGGCTCTTTTAAACCGATGAGGGAGTGCTTCTGCTCAAGGCGGTATAACTCGATTGTTCGGGGACAGTAATCAGTATCTTACAAGCACCCCATTCGGACAACGTTCACCTGATGTTCCGAAGCACCTAGTCTCTGACATTGCCGGGCTAGCTCCATCAGTTCATCTTGATCTTTACCGGTCATTGCCAGGAGACAACCCGCCGACGCTAAACGTCTAGCCGTGGTCTCGCCAATACCACAAGTCGCTCCTGATAACGCAGGTAGGAATAATATAGAAACCATTACAACCTTCCGAAAAAGTAAATCCCGTATGATTATTTTTCTGAAAAAAGAAATATAATTTGGCCGACTTTAAGGCAAAGACTGCGTATTATCATTGGCGTCGCTAGAGGGGTGGTGTGTGTGTGTGTTGGGGGGACACACCTGGCAAGTTTTGTGGGCAAAATCGCAATGCCATGGTGTCTGCTTGAATGGAAAAGCGCTGGGGAAAAGGGAAAGGGGTAAGTATGCATCAGGTTGGGGAATCAGACTACCATTTCACTTATGAAGCCTGCTGATGGTCCTTTGGCAAATCTCATGCTAACAACCCCCTCCCCATTTAAAATGGCCGCCAGTCTTAATTATTGTAACGTAGTATGGTGGCCTAGTGACGCCCTATCCTAGGTTGTACGCCAGTCTTCCTTACCGTAACGTAGTACAGCCAGGGAGTCCACCTGGGCTTAGTGACGCCCGTACGCATCTTTCCTCTGAGAATTCCTAAGCAAATCGAGCGATGTTTTGTGCTTGTCATTACCAAAACCCGAGTGGCTGCTGCCTTTTCCCGTACAGAAAATGACTTTCCGCTTAAAATTAAAGTTCTATGAAAATTCACAACCAAATGATGCGTTGAGTCTTGACTTCACCGACATCAATAATCTTCAAGTCATGTAAATTTTTACTGAAAGATTTTTACCTGTAATAAGCGCTACTTTTCCTGTGAAAGACGTCATGGTGGTTTCACATCAAGAACAATACGCTTGCCCGTATGTAAAATGGCCGATGCGAGTTGTGTATCGTGTGCAAGTGATCATTCCAACTGGTTGTGCTTCTAACGCAAAACGCATACCAGCACTAAAAACAATTTCCTTGGCGCACGCCATTAAAAAAAGCTCCGTCATGGCTGCGCAGAAATGACATGGTTGCGACTAGCAATAACACGTGTGTCTACGGAAGCTGCTAGCCGGTGCAGTCACTGGGGATAAGCCCGAGTTTTGTTTGTCCTCCCCATCAATGGAATCTTTATCCTGTTTTGACACTAACACCACATTATGGAACAAATTAATGAGGGTATACAGGATTACAGGGCAGGGAAAGAACTAATTCAGGGATGTATTATATTTATTAAAAATGGCCGTATTCACGCTTTGTATAACTGTTTATCGAGGCTGTAGTAAACCCAGAGTTCATAACTAAGTTAACTGCAGATCGCACTAGCAATTTGGGGGAAAACAGTGCTTGATTTAGAAAATTGAATTGGGCGAATTTTTTGTAAATCTGAGGTCTTTTTAAGGAGGATAGTTAGCTGTAACACTTCAGTTGATTTGCTGAATTCGGACATGTCAAATGCATGTTGAAAGCACCACGGCTATCTTAACAGCAAGAGTTCATAATCTTTATTATTCTTACTTTAAACAAAGAATAAATTGAGCAAATTGTTACTTGATTGAACTAAAGGTTCGTTTAAACTTTACACAATCACAAGTGTCTTCCTTTGAAATAAAAACGTCTGTGCTCACTCCCTTAAGCTTTCTCGTCACATGAAACAAGGAAAAGTTGCTTAAATTTACGAGGTAATTAAAGCACAGTTAAGATCATATCAGAATTGAAACAAAGTGACGATCTTAATTTTTGTACATAGATTAAGAACCATTTATCCCTCCTGAAGGCAGCACTGTTCTAGTGTTCATCCGTGACGCCGCACTGTTCAACACGGTACCTGTCCGTCCAGGGCACGCTGCCTGTCCAGGGCCCGGGTTGGAGTTGGTTAATCCGGCAAAGTTCCCGGAGTCCAGTAGTTTCTGGAGGTTTCCGTCACCGGATTGTTTCCCGTTCAAAAGGTCCCCCATGAAGGTGATGTACAACATCGCCAGGCGGAGAGTCTCGATCCGGGACAGTCGCTTTTCGTAGGCGAAAGTCGGTACGCTCTTGCGCAGGATGTCGAAAGCCTCGTTGAGGTTGAACATGCGTCGTCGCTCGCGCACGTTGGCCGCCTTGCGCTGCGAGGCCGTGGTGACTCGCCGGCGCGTTTTGGGCTTGTGCGGCGGGTTGGCCGTGCCGCTAGGGCCGTTCTTCGGCTGTGGATGACGGTCCGAATTAGCGTGCTGCATGGTGATAAACTGGATGTTCGGTAGAGTACCTTGGTGTGTGCTGCCATTCACACAGAGTTTTGGAAAGTTAAGCGGAAGTTGGACGAGTTCAGCTAAGGATGTCGCGGGCGTTCCCGCCTGTATCGTGGTAGCTTGAGAGTGGGGGTGAATGACGTGTTGGGCTGCCGAGAAGCTTGACTGTCCCCATCCCAGATCGGTAGCATCGCTACCCTGGTGGTTATGCGGAAGGCTCGCTGTGTCCGGAGTGAAGGGGACATGAGGGAGGTTGTCAATGTCCACCAGACCGTTCAAATCGGTCAGTTGAGGCCCAGTATCTATATCATCGAAGACACTGTTGCTCAAGTCTGTGAAGACTGGCATCTGGTCTCCGTGGAGCGTCTGTGTGTCTTGGAAGGATGAGGCAAGGAGGTCGTCGTTGTTGCTGTGGTTTGCATTGGTATCCATTCTCAGGACGATATCCAGCAAGGCGTCTGGGTCTTGGTCCAAACTCACAGCCATCTGACTGTTTTTCTCACAAGACTTACAAAATAACACTTGGACAAAATTCTTCAATCGACGTGCAGTGAATCATTAATGGTGGAAATCCACAAATGTGAAGAAACGCAAATTGTCTTTGGTATGAAAAAGCTTAGTTGAAAACAACTGATGTTAGATTAAACCAATTATTTCGTCAGGCACGCCGGCCCACATTATGTTGTAATGACATCCGTTCTAGGTATACGATGAGTTGATAAGTCGAAGCCTTTATAGCTCTAAGAACAGATTCAGAGAAGAAAAAATAACCGTTGATTGAATTGGTCGCTTGTTTCGTCACAGGTCACCGACGTGATTTAAATGTTACGTCATTGGTCGAAGTGAACGCCCACAACTTCCTCGTGGTGAAATCGCCTCAAATCGCACATCACGCGTTTTAGCGAACACACTTTAATTGCCCAAAAAAATTCTTTCAAACCACAGGGTTGTTATGAGAGGACCAACCGTGTTACGCAAAACAAAACAGGTTCGCAGCAGATGTCGCGTGCCGCTGTTTGCCGACAGTTCATCTGCAAACACCGTCTGTCTTGGCTTCCCTGCCATGTCCATGGAACAATAGGGGTGGGGCATCCTGGAGCCCACCCCTCCTTATTTTCGCCCCCCTCACTCTCAGACACCTCCGTGTTCACTTGCTGAAAATTACCCACCAAGGACTAGCGGATTTCCTAAGCTAACGGAGCGGTGCAAATTCTTCCCCAAATTGGGTGGACAAACAAGCAGCGCGTGGCCGGCACGCGACGCGCCACTCTCCCCTTAACACCTCGGCCCAAGGTCATTTGTGTATCAGCACGACTCCAGTCCTCAAGTGGTCCAGCCGTAAAGCTTTTCTAAATTCATCAAGATTTGGTCTCTAGCCCTCCAGGGTACCCATGGGATTTTCTCTCTCTCTCTCTCTTGTTTTGTTTTGTTTTGTTTTGTTTTGTTTTGGTTTGTTTGTTGGGTTGTTTTTTTTTTTTTGAGTCTTGAGACAAAACAGACCGCCCGTTATGTAGCTCTTTCAAAAGACCAAAGAAAAATGAAGTGGCTCTTGAATTTGTGCCTGGGAAACGCGGCTTAATTCCATGTTTCTGGGAGAAGACTGCTTTGATATTGAGTGTAGAGGACTCTTGACGACTTGGCGTGGTGTCTTTGCTACGATTGTGAGACAATAGACTGTGTGAGAAAATTTCACCAGCAGGAAAAATATAGCCAAGTACAACTTAAGGTTTCTACTTCTTACATGATGGCTTTTGAAGCCGATGGGATTTTTTCGCATTTCCCTTTTTGTGTAGGGGAGGAATTTTACTCCTTGTTCATCTTTGAGATAAACAGGCGATTCACAATAGTGCAACCTCCAAGAGTTTGCAACACGTTGGCCAATTAAAACGCGCGAAATCTGTCGACCCTTTCCAAACACGCATTGGGCCGACAGTTTTTGCGCATCGTGATTGGCCAATGCATTGCAAACTCTTGGAGGTGCACTATTGTGAATCGCCCGTATTGGACAGTCTGAGTATTGTGACTGCAGTTTTCTGTGGAGTGGAAGTCTGTTGCAGGGAATATGACAAAGATCTAAAGTTTGTTTCCCAAAATCTTCGTATAATGCGATAGGCTACGTCCCTGAATGGATTTGTATGAAGTTACTCGTGTAAGACCAAAATTTTTCATGAGCCTATTTAAATTGACCAATATGAAAAGTTTAATTTTCTGCTGTGTTAGATAACTCCCCCATTCACGATTTTTGGTATTTTTTTAATGCCAGAGATCTTTTGATATATCTGTGTCTTTGTCTTGTCTTAGTTCTTGGTATGTTGTATTGACATGTTCATCCTCAAGGCGCTTTTGTCTATCGAAGCTCCGGCCTTATTAAAATGCCTCCATAATTTTCATGTATGGAAATTCTCTCTTAACTGCTTTTGAATATTTATTACAATCAGACTTATTGCAGTTTGAAAGCTTGGAAATAGATAATCTCCTTAAAACCTGAACCAGACGTAGCCATCGGTTATTTTGTAGAAAGTGACTAAAAATTGAAGTTACAAGTGGAACAATGAGCGAATCTGCTTACGGTAAAGTCTCGAGGTTACTTCAGACTTTCCTATTTACGGAGTTTAAAAGCTTTTATCGTTCCTCTGGAAGTTATGTGCTAAGCTCCTTTCGAAACATTTAGGATATTTAAACTTGGGTCGATAAATCGCATTAGATTTGAAACCATATTTTCTCAGCTCAAACTCTGTGAAATTTCAAGTGGCTAGGACGTTACTTAGCTTCAACCCTCATGAGCCATTTTGTAAACTTTCCTCCACATAACCAGACGTTCATTTTGCCCGGAAGCGTCAGTCGACGTCAACAGAGTTTTTCTTTATCAATGAGAGTCTCAATTGATGAGAATACAACCGCTTTGGTCGCTGTTATCGGTTTGTTTGGTCGTGATACCTTTTGCAAACACGGTACGGTTGCAGATGCTGCTAATAGGCCCAACGAGACAAACAATAGAGGCTTAAACGCGATCTATTAAACGACACTGCAAGATGTTACATCCACGCGTCATGTGCGACCCACTCCCAATAACAGCACCAGTTAATAAACGCACAGGTTGATACATTTAAGGAGCAAACCTTGTAAGAGTCCTTTGTTTGTGACGAAGCCTGAAACGGCAGTGACGTAGGCTAAAGTTTATTGAAACGAGCTCCTATAACCCTCGTACAAACACTGATTATAAATGTTCAAAATCCACTCTTTAATAATCTGCACTCTTTTGTAAGTTGAAGTTACGTGTATTACTAAATGATTCAAAAGCACACATTAAGAATTATTGAATTAATCTCTGCTTTTTAAATTCATCCAAGACAATCTGCAGTTAAAAGGCCGGTTATACTTCACGTGAATACAAAAGCGAAGCGAATTTTGACCTCGTGAAAAATTTGTATCGAATTTCGCTTGAGATGAAATGTGTTCAACTTTGCGAATTTGCGACCCAAATATTCGACTGTCTGACCTCACAAATACGCGTTCCTCTTCGCTTTCGCGTGAAGTATGGACCAGCCTTTAGTCAGTATTCAATTAATAATCGCGATGATTTTAATATTGAGACGATCAATAGCATGTTTTGCAGGTGGATTACTTGGCATCAGTACAATTAACAGTTAGACTTGTTCACCACTCCTGGAATGGCAACATGTGTTAATAATGAGTAGAAAAATCAGTTTTTACGAACAATGCTATGGCATTGCGCCACTTGTCCTTCGACTGTACTAATTGGCACGTTGAGATCCCCAACTCTGGGGGCGCTGCAACACTCAAAACTGCTCCTTTCCACCTTGCTCAAGTTGTTGACGGTCGTAGTTTTGAAGACATGTCTCCTACCAGCTAGAAAAATTGCTTAATTTACCTCCTGGCCTTGTTTTTTCTGTACCCATTTGGAGAAAAATGCCTAGGTGGTTGGATGAATGGTTGGGGTAGAAGGCATTTTGTTAAAGGGGTGGGACTCTGGTTCCTCTCTTAGTAGGCCCTACCTGTCTGCCCCGCTTTCCTACTGCCGCACATTCTGCTATTTTGTCCATCATTACCAGTTTTATGTGCCTTAAGCTGAGAATTGATCCACCTTTCTATCTTGCTTTACTGCTCCAGAGTCGAGGCAAGGTGTCGCTGAATTTGCTCTTAACCATGACGGCTTTGGATACTAAGAATAGTAACAAGAATGGTAATAGTAAGAAAGATATAGCAATCGGTGTGAACTTGTGGAATAAACCCATTTCAAGTTAAAATCTGGAGAGGAAGTGTAGTCAAACGGAACACTTCCTCGTGAAATTAAACTAAGAGCAACAGAAAGACATCGCGCTCAGTGTTGTCGTAATCATAAACGTACTATTCCAGCAAACTCGGCATTTTTCATGCAGTGTGGGGTCGTTCAACTGAAGTACTGTGCCACTCCTGCTGTGGGGATACATGTACAATACACGTGCGATCGAACATGTGTACATGTACATGTACGTGTTGCAACATGGCGCTCCATAAACCCAACCAAGGGGTATGTACCCTGCACGCGTACAATGAAACGACCCTGGCAATGTGGTCATGACATTCGACTTTGGCACGTGACGCGATATGCAGCAACTACGTGTACATTTATTAGAAATGGCGCCCCTCCCCACGACGAACACTGACATTTAACGTGCTGTGTAGAAGAGTGGTATTGGGTTTGGTTTCTTGCTGTTCTATGCAAAAGCTAAAAAGAGAGAGTCTGAAAACGGGTAAGTCCCCTTTGGCCAGCTAGAGCCGCAAGTTTCTCGGTTACTGAGGGTTCGTACGCATACACACACACACAATATACATGTACATGTACAGTACATGTGATCAGTTTTGGTTTAGCGGAAAGCAAAGGCCCACTACCCGCACTAGTGTACGAGGACTTGTGTCCTGTAGGCCTACATTGCATTCAGCACTACTTTTTTTTTCAAGATTGGCTGCCTGAAATAAAATAAGACTTGCAGAAATATCACTCTTGATCAGTGCCTTGTTCTGCCTTAACTATACTTTTGACTCATTTGTGGCAGTTTACCAGAAGAGTTTTTTCTTTAGCGTTTGTATTTGGGACGATAGCTGCGTACGACTTTAGATCACCGTTATAGTGAAGTATTCTGTTTTGCTTTGTTAGCCACCAGGCAATAATGTTACCAACTCTTGGTCAATATACAACTGTGACAAAGAAAGGGCATGCCCTATATCCGGAAGTAATGAAAGTGTGGTGAACTTTTTTGCCAGTCAAATACTGTTAAATTTTGACTTGTAGGCCCTACTTGTCGTTTACTTGTAAATTCTGGATTGGGTTGAGTTGGGTTGGGTTGGGTCGGGTTGGATAGTGCAATTTTGATATGCCCCCTACTTGGTCAGAATTATTGCTAAAAAGTAAATTTAAATTATTTCAGAGCGTCAGAACTGAAGCATGAATTTTTCGGCCAGTGACGACTACCGTAAAGACGGTAGAACTCCCCAACACAACGGAATAATGCAACACATTGATAAAATTACCTTCCAACCTGGGGACGAGGTTCTGGACGTGGGCTGTGGATGAGGAGAAGAGACCAAAACGATAGCAACAAAGGTCAAAAGTGTAACAGGTACACGAGGACAGTCATAAGAATTTTGGGATTCCTCATAAGACTCAGAGGCGGTTCAGAGGCGTATCCAGTGTTGGGTGGAGGGGGGTACTTTCCCCCTCCTGCCTGACTTTTCAAATCAAATATTTATTTAAAAATTTATATATATCAAATATAGGCATAAAAACCCCATTAAACAACACCACGAAATAAGTGTAAGTGCGTTGCACATATTGCGCACTGAACGCGCAGCCATCCATGGTTTTGCCCATACTTTTTAAAATCACGGTGATATGCGCAAGACTGGTGGTTGAAACCATTAGTTTCCATTATAATGGAGATCAATGGTTGAAACCACAGACATAATTATAAACGCATAGACCCAATGCGCGTTTGGAAAGGGTCGACAGATTTCGCGCACGGTGATTGGTCAACGCGTTGCAAACTCTTGGAGGCGCACTACTGCGATCGACCGGATTCAGAAGTGAAAATGTGACCCAGCAAATCGAAATCACGAATACGTCTCAAAGTGCCTTTTTAAGAAATGGTCAGAAAGAGAATTTCACTGATAAGTTTTCTTTGCCGAAAATGGGTCACTTGGGAGACATTCCCATAGGAACGTGCCCACAATTTTTCAAACTTTACCGTCCCATAATTCCACATTCCCTAATCCGATCTTAACCAAACTTTGCATGTTTTCCTTTCAGACCCCAGTCTATCATCTTTCAAAATGTGGACTATAATAATGTTCCTCCTTTTGCTTGTTTGAACATTGAAATGTCTCCCTGATGACCAATGTCTCCCTAATGTTGAAAAATTTACCACAAAATATCTCCCAAGTGACCTATTTGGAAATATTTTTAAATGACTTCTCCATGTTTTTGAGAACATAACTCGAGAACCAAAGAAGCAACACACTTGTAATATGTACCATTCGAAAGCTTATGAAATTTATGTTTTATTGTAAATAGTGGTCTAAATAACACTTACTCTTTGCAATGGCACATGAATGGTATTATTGTTATCGAATATCAAGACCAATTCTCTGTGTCGGGATGTTATTATCTGTTATAGGTATCGATTCTTCAGAAGCAATGATAGCTACGGCCCAAAACAGCAACTCGGCATCCAATGTTCGGTATGTTGTCTGGGATGCCAGAACCGTCGGTGACAACCCAGAATGGCGAGACAGATTCGATAAAGTTGTGAGTTTCTTCGTGATCCACTGGATCCCGTCGGCAGATCAGCCTAAAGCGCTAGAGGGCATCTTGGCCTGTTTGAAAAAGGGAGGAGAGGGTCTGATTCTCATCAGCACCGATGTTGGCAGCCGCCACGCAGTGAGGGGGACTGTTTTACATCTTAAGAACCATCCCAAGTGGGGTGTATACGTCAAGGTAAATACACGTATTTTCAAGCCTTTACAAATCTGCCATCGCCACTCTTTTCCAATAACTGATATACGCATGCATATAATTTGCATATAATCTGACTGAAATCTATTTTAGAACATTTCATGCCATTTTGCAAACAAATGTAACTTGTACGTTGAATTTTCGTATTAGGAGAGTGTTATCGTTGGTCGCCGAACGAGCTTCCTAAGACGAAGTTTCCAATACTTTTTGGCAGTTTTGGATTTCGGATTTTTAATTATTTTTAGGCGAAATGACGTCACGCATCGTCTTTGTCTCGACATCCTACGTGATGTCGGCGTTTGTTACGACCCTTTGACATGACGATTGTTTTCTTTGCAGCAATACGTGTTACCTGCTGGATGGTGGTCTCGGTCCATCAAAGACACCGATGAACTGATGAAGACGTATGGTTGTACCAGCGTGAATTGTGAAATCGCAACTGACCATATATCCCTGTCCGAGCTGCAATTCAAATGTAGATTTGCCACTTTGTTTCATTTCCATGTTATCGAGCTCGTACGTACCAAGTTCATGTATACGGTAACATTTTGTAGACAACGTATGCATTTGCAGGCTTTCGTCGAATTTGTATTTTCATTTTTAGAGCAAGATGACCTGTTATAATTCAGTCCTGACATACAAACTTGAAATTAATTTAGAGGAAGTAGAGCGTATATTACGTGAAGTAAGTTAATTTATTTCGTTTTTCATTGTTCCCTCCAGTGACTGCCAAGACTCTACTCAGCTTTGTGAGTCTCATACCGGCAGAGGAACAGGAGGCGTTCCTTGATGATTTGTATCGCCAGGCGCTGTTAGACTTGGAGGACAAAGACCAGCCAGGGCACATACATTGTGTTGCTGAATTTGTAGTTATGCACGTCCGTAAATAATTGACCTTTACAGCCGTTTTAGCTTTACTTGGCTCTGGTGCCAAGGAGATCTGTAATGTGGATGGTCACACAAGCACGATATGTACTACCTCCAAAGCCCGTGTCATCAAGCACAAGGCAAAGAATCCTGAAGCAGATACGAAAATATAGAGAGACTTTGAACAGAAAGGGGTTACTCTTTTCTGATTAATCAAGTCACTTGATATAGGTAAATTCATATTTCCATGGTCTGCCTTGAGCAGAATTACCCTTCATTGGTTGAACAGAGCCAGGTTGGTCGGAAGTGTTCATTTTAGTTGGTAGCAACGGATAACACGTGCATTTCATAGTCTTTCGTGAACCAGCGAAGAGCAGTTCCGACCAAAGGAGCCTCCATTGCTAGGAAACTTGCTCCCTCTCTTGCTCCAAATCGGGGCAAAAAGTCAAATGGACCACATAACAGACACCTGGAGACAGCGATTATTACGCATCCATAAGGATAGGACATACACTTTCCGGCCTCGGTTCATATGTATGCTCTTCTTGAATTTTAAACCGGAATTCCAATCTGACAATGTTTGTGTCAACGTTGCAAAAAATTGAAACAGTTTTTACAAATGTTATTTTACCTATGTGAAAAGGTGATTTCTTATTTTGGCATTGTTTTTTATAAAGGGGTTATTTTGTTGTAGTTATACATATTATGATATTGGCCAGATTACATTAGCAATTTAGACTGGGTAATTTTTTTATAAGGCCATACCTGAATCACTTGGCAATAGCTTGAAATTACACGGGAGTCTATGGTAATGATAGTTTCGGTATAGGAAAGTGCATCATCATCCAACAAATTGAGTCTAAACATGACAGAAGTACATGCAGACGACAATGCAAAATTAACCAGTTATCTTCCAAGAATAGTCTGGTGGTAACATGTTTCTATGCTCAATCTTCAAACTGTGAACTGAGATTTCAGACTGGTCAGGTACCAGAGTTAGTACTCAACACCGGGGTACTGGGTACCAGATTTACATGTGCATTATACTGTGCGATGCTGCATTGCTTGTGTCACATGGTGTGCATGTGATGCTCGGCTGTGAAATGATACAACGGGAGGCGCTCCATTTTTGCACATTTTGCGGGGAATTTCATCGGTATGAAGACAGACATTTTCATCTGTATGAAGACAGACATTTGATACTTAAAGGTATTTTTGCATGCATTTTGAAGTATTTTTTCCTGAAGTAACACCTTTGAAGGGGAGGTTATTAATGCTGTGAGGGTCACTATATTGTAAGTTTGTCAATGACAAACTCATGTACAGTATATGAACATGTTGGCTGCATCAGTTGTGTACCGTGACTGCAGGCACCTGTAGCAGCATCGCTTTTATTAAACAAAATGTCTTAAATTGCAACTTTTTAGAATGAGAGCAAATCTAAATGTACCTTGCTGTTTTGAAGTGAAACTTGATGCTTTTTATGTATACTGTGTTGAATGGTATGTGTGCCAAGAATGTTTCCAAGTTACAGTTGTATCTGTGGCATAGTGTGAAGTTGGTTTATCCTTAATGCAGTAAAAATCCGACAGTACCTGTTGGTCATTTGAATGAGGTGACACAGGAAAATTGAAGTCGGATTTGACAGTCTCAAACTTAAAATAAAAGTCTCAAAGTCCTCATGGCTCACATTTAAAAACAGTTATTTGTTTATCAATTTCTTGTGAAACAAAACGTCGCTAGCTCAAGATAGTGGAGAAATAGATTAAACTTAACCGAGGGCCTATAACCCCCAACAAACACTGATTATAAATGTTCAAAATCCACTCTTTTATAATCTGCACTCTTTTGTAAGTTGAAGTTACATGTATACTAAGTAATTCTAAGAATTATTGAATTAATCTCTGCTTTGAATAATTCGCCAAAGATAGCCTGCAACTTTCGTTGTCTAAAGGCCAGTTGTACTTCACGCGAAGGCGAAAGCGAAGCAAATTTGACGTCGTGAAAAATTTGTATCGAATTTCGCTTGAGATGAAATGTGTTCAACTTTGCGAATTTGCGACGCAAATCTTCCACTGTCTGCCCTCACAAACACGCGTTCCTCTTCGCTTTCGTGTGAAGTAGTGTAGACCGGCCTTTAGTCAGTATTCAATTAATAATCGCGATGATTTTATATTGAGACGATCAATCAATAGCATGTTTTGCAGGTGGATTACTTGGCATCAGTACAATTAACAGTTAGACTTGTTCACCACTCCTGGAATGGCAACATGTGTTAATAATGAGTAGATAAATCAGTTTTTACGAACAATGCTATGGCATTGCGCCACTTGTCCTTCGACTGTACTAATTGGTACGTTGAGATCCCCAACTCTGGGGGCGCTGCAACAAGCAAAATTGCTCCATTCCACCCGTACTCGAGTTTATATTTGACGGTCGTGGCAGAAGACATATCTCCTACCAGCTAGAAAAAGTATTGCTTCATTACCACCTGGCCTTTTTTCTGCACCCATTTGGAGAATACATGTAAATGCCTGGGTGGTTGGGTGAGTGGTTGGGGTTTAGAAGGAATTTTGTAAAGAGGTCGGAGCATTGGTTGCCAAAAGAGGGGCCTCGGTCCTCTCTTAGTTCCTGTCTGCCCCTCTTTCCTCCTGCCTCACGTTCTCCTATTTTTCCCGTCATTACCACTTTTATGTTCCCTAATCCCGAGGCGGCAGCAAGTCATATTTTGCAAGTCCAAGTCAAGTCACAAGTCAGTAGCCAAGGCAGGTTAGGAGTCATTTGGTCACAGGGCAAGTCATTCGGTCTAAACACGTGTCAAGTCACAAGTCTCTTTGTCCAAGTACAAATCAAGCTGCACATTATTTTGTCCAGCTGTAATAAGGAAAAAGAACTAGGCGTCAACTTACAGAGTTGCGAGTTCCAAAAAATATTTGGGGCCGGTCGAGCAGCGTCTGACTTGGGTTGGTAACAAGTCATTTCTTACAAGTCCAAGTCAATTCACAGTCATCATTTTTTGCAAGCGAGTCCAAGTCAAGTCACGACTTAAAAAGCTGGTATTTTCAAGTCAAGTCACAAGTCACAAAAATAGCGACTCGAGTCGACACAAGTGCAAGTCACATGACCCGAGTCAGCAACTCTGCCCTAAGCTGAGAATTGAACCTTTCTCAGTATCTTGTTTTACCGTGACTGCTCCAGAGTCGAGGCAGAGTGTCGCTCAGTGAACAACGTCGGTTTGCACTTCAGACCAAACCATGACGTCTTCAAATACTAAGAATAGTAACAAGAATGATAATTATAGATATAGTAATTGGTGTGAAGTTGTGGAACAGACCCGTTTCAAGTTAAAATCTGGAGAGGAAGTGTACGTCAAACAGAACACCTGATCAGATTAGGCCTACATGTTCAAAGAGCAACAGAGCGAAATACATCGCGCTCAGTGTTTTCGTAATCATATACATGTACTTATTTCTAGCAAACTCCGTATTATTCATGCAGTTTGGGGTCGTTAAACTGAAGTGCTGTGCCGCTCCTGCTGTGTTGATGTACTGTACATGTACATGTACTGTGCAATACACGTACGAACGTGTGCATGTATAGTACATGTACAGTATATGTACATTTTTGCACCGTGACGCTCGGTCAGCTGCCACCACAGAGCACGGACCCTGTGCGTGTACGATGAAACGACCTTGACATATGTGGTCATGACATTCGACATTGGCACGTGACGCGATATGCAGCAACTACGTGTACATTTATTAGAAATAGCGCCCCTCCCCGCGACGAACGCTGACATTTAACGTGCTGTGTAGAAGAGTGGTATTGGATTTGGTTTCTTGCCGTTCTATACAAGAGCTAACAAGACAGTCTGAAAACCTCTTGCGGTAAGTCTGCTGTAACAATTGTCCCCTTTGGCTGGCTAGAGCAACATATTTGTCGGTATAACTGAGGGTTGGTACGCACACACATACACACGCAAAAAACATGTACCTGTACATGTACAATGTGACCAGTTTTGGTCCAGCCAAAGCAAAGGCCCTTCCGAGGTACAAGGACATGTGTCCTGTACTGCGTACGACGTTAGATTAACGTTATAGTGAAATTTTCATTTGCTTTTGTAAGACATTGGGTCGTAGTTTTACCGACCATTGATCAACACTTCTATGACATAGAGAGGGCATGCCCTGTCCGCACGCAAAGTGTGGTGAACCCTTTTGCCAGTTAAATATCGTTAGACAATTGACTTGTTGGCCCTAGTTGTCGTTTGCTTGTGAATTTTGGATTGGGTTGGGTTGGGTTTGGCTGGGTTGAGTAGAGTTGGATAGTTCAATGTTGATATGCCCCCCTACTTGGTCAGAATTATTGCTAAAAAGTAAATTTAAACTTTTTCAGAGAGTCAGAACTGAAGCATGAATTTTTCAGCGAGTGACGACTACCTTGGAGACGCTAGAACTACCCAGCACACCATAATTATGGAACACATTGATAAACTTACCTTCCAACCTGGGGACGAGGTTTTGGACGTGGGCTGTGGATCAGGAGAAGAGACCAAAACGATAGCAACAAAGGTCAAAAGTGTAACAGGTACACAAGGACAGTCATTAGACCTTTGTTTCGAATCGGTTCTGTTGGATCTGCGTCCCTGTGTTTTGTCTGTGGTGTGCATAGGGATTCCCCAAAAGACTCAGAGGCGTGTCCGGCGTTGGGGGAGGGGGGAAACTTGCCCCCTCCTGAGGGATTTTTTTATCAAATATTAATAAAAGTATTTTATTTATCACATATTAGCACCCAAACCCTAGGAAAACAATACCGCGAAATAACAGCAAGGATGTCGGCACCGTGAGGAAGGCTTTTGATATTTTTTCCTCCCCCAACATCATGTTGAATAAGCCCGAATCCGAATTCGCTTTTGAATCCCTACAACCTGGATACAACGCATGAAAGGCTGTCTGGCCCATGGGAACGGAAAGATGGAGTTGTGAAAATTTGTAACAATATTGATGTCGAATCAAATATAGTAAAAAACGTCCTACGGTAAATCACGTTTTCCTGGTCTCTCATTGAAAACATAAAGACGCCAACACATGATGTAAAGTCGCGGACTATGCAGACTCCTCAACAAACTACTTATGTTTTATCGTAAATAACATTGGCCTGAATAACAGTTATTCTTTGCAATGGCAAAATAATGGTATTATAAAAATATTGTCATCGAATATCAAGACCAATTCTCAGTATCGTGATGTTATTATCTGTTAAGGTATCGATTCTTCAGAAGCAATGATAGCTACTGCCCAAAACAGCAACTCGGCATCGAATATTCGG